TTGGATGAGATTAAAGAAGTAGCTTCTGAAATAGCTAAAACCTATCTTCAGCTACAGGAGGCCAAAGAAAACCTTATAGAGTCAAACCTCAGATTGGTAGTAAGTATAGCAAAAAAATACACAAACAGAGGTCTCATGCTTTTTGATCTTGTGCAGGAAGGTAACTTAGGCCTAGTAAGAGCGGTAGAAAAATTTGAGTACCTTCGCGGGTTTAAGTTTTCTACATACGCAACATGGTGGATACGGCAAGCAATTACTCGTTCTATTTCGGATCAAGCACGCACCATACGAGTCCCAGTACACATGATAGAACAAATCAATAAAGTGGTACGTGTGGAGAAGAAAATGATGCAAAGTTTAGGAAGAGAGGTAAGTGATGATGAAATAGCTGAGAACTTAGGATGGGAAAAAGAAAAGGTTAAAAATGCACGCAATGTTTCTCGAGAACCGATTTCTCTTGAAACTCCTATTGGAGAGGAGGACGATTCACTGCTTAGCGACTTTGTAGAGGATAAGAACACCAGCTCGCCAACCAAACTCACATCGTTTTATCTTCTTCAAGAGCAGTTAAGAGAAGTGCTTTCTACCCTCCCAACACGAGAACAGCAGGTAGTTCGCTTACGCTTTGGGCTAGATGATGGTTATCCCCTTACTTTAGAGGAGGTGGGACTGCATTTTAATGTAACAAGGGAGCGTATTCGACAAATAGAATCTAAAGCGCTTAAGAGGCTACAGCATTCTCGATATAGATTGAAACTTCGAGACTACCTTGAAAAAGATGGTCAATAACACTATACTATGAAAGTATACATCATTCAATAATACAGCAAAATTACAAGACCGGAGTACAAGTTATGCTAAAAGATACTTTAGAGCAACTAAGAAAGTTGCAAACTATACTCAACGATAAATTTGAAATTGAAAAAAAACTCGTTGAGCTACCCCAGGAATTAGAAAGAAGAGATGAGGTAGTAATGCGGATGAAAGAAAATTTCCTGCACTATAACGAGGAGCGAAACTCATTAAGAAGAGAACTCATAGTAAAAAGAGATGAGCTAGATCGAGTGCAACAAAACACCTTGAAACTAGAAAAAGAAGTAGGCGCTGTTACTTCTCAACGAGATTACGAGCAGATAGACAGAGCTATTAGAGAAAGCCATGAACGTTAGAAAAATTTACGTAGCGAAATTACTACAACAGAAAATAACTTAGAAGAGCTTCAGCATGATCTTAGCGATTCCGAGGACTTGTTACAGGCGCAAGAAAAAGATCTTGAGAAGATAAAAGATGACGTTCAGAAAGAGATGATAAAGCACGACGTACAGCTGAAAGAACTGCAATCAAAAGAGACAGAAATAACAGTGTCTATGGATAGAGATCTTGTCTTCAAGTTCGAGAGAATACTAAAATCACGGTCAGGGGATGGAATAGTCCCTATTAGAAAAAATGTCTGCTATGGATGTCATATGCTACTTCCGTTAAAGATTGTAAACGAGGTCTGCGAGGAACGTAAGGTTATTACCTGCCCCTACTGTTCAAAAATACTTTTTTACGATGGCGATAGTGATGACGAGGAAGTAGATAACATTGAGATAGCAGGTCTAAGAGACATCATAGATGCCGAAGATATCATCCTGGATGACTTTGATGAGGAAGATTACCATGCGTTTATTCAGAAAGACGATCTTGGATCAGATGAATATGTTCAGGCAAAGCAAATTGAAGAGTTGCATGATGAAGACGATGATGACGATGATGGAGATGATATTGAAGATAAGCTTGCAGACCTGGAAGACTCCGAAGATCTTGATGAAGACGATAATAAGATCTTTGATAATGAATAATAAGAAAAAAAGCATATAAGTAACACAGGGTATCGCTAGTATATACTAGAGGAAAGTCCGGGCTCCATAGAGCAAGTCACTGGATAAGTTCCAGCGGTCGTGAGGCTAGAGATACGTGCAACAGAAAATATACCGCCGTAAGGTAAGGGTGAAATGGTGGGGTAAGAGCCCACCTGCTCTATAGCGATATAGTAGCATGGTAAACCTTGACTGGAGCAAAACCAAATAGTGAGAGAGAGCTCACTCTATTGATCACGGGTAGGTTGCTAGAATAATCTGGTAACAGGTTATCAAGATAGATGGTACCCCTAACAGAATCCGGCTTATTTGTTGCTTATATGCTTTGTATTATATGATACAATAGGACTACGGAGGGGGGCTTGAAAAAAACCCATATATTCTTTCTCTTGTTTCTCGTGTTTATGATCTTGCTTGTGCTTTTTTTTATTTTTAGTGGAGTATATAGGCAGAATGTAGAGAAGAAGAGTAAAATAGATACCATACATGCACTATGGCAAGATATGGATTACGAAGCTGTTATAGCAGAGACGGAAGGCTACGAGAAGCAATACCCCAAGGATACATATGTAATGTTACTGCGTTCCTTTTCTCTCTTTAATATGTTATTTTTAGATTATACATTTACAGGGCAGATGGATCAGGAACAATTATGGAAGAGCATTAGTAGTATTCGTAGAATACTAACTTTGGAACCTAAGAATTTTTGGTTGAAAGAATCACATTACGTATTGGGGAAGGCGTATTATTTTCTTTCAAAAAATAGTGTAGATAAAGCTATGTACTACTTGCAGAGCGCAAAGGGCATGGGATTTCAATCGGATGATCTTAATGATTTCCTTGCTGTGGTACACAAGGACAGAGGCGATATTGAGGAAGCAAAAACATTGCTTCTTGAGAGCATTCAAAGAAACCCAAGCTTCAACCGCTACATATTTCTGTTAACTATATATCTTGAGCAAAAACAACTGAATGCAGTTTCTAGTATAATAAATGAAGCAGCTACTTACGCGCAATCAAGTGATGATAAAGAAACACTACAGATCATTACTGCGAGGAATTTGCTATTACATGCAGATGTAGACAAAGCAGAGAAAATGTTATTAAGTATTATTGATAGCAACCCAGATTCAGCAGAGGCATATTTTTATTTAGGGAATGTGTATGAAATGCAGAATAAGTCAGTAGAAGCAAGGTTTAACTGGAGAAAGGCGTATAAGTTAAAACCAAGCTGGGAAGAAGTAATTATTAAGTTAAGAAATGAAGTAAGAAGCGAAGATAGCTAATGAGTTTTTTTTCACGTTTTATTCGAACAGACATAGGTATAGATTTAGGAACTTGCAATACTCTCGTTGCAGTATCGAACAAGGGAATAGTTATAGATGAACCTTCAGTAGTAGTAGTACATCTTGAAAGCAATAAGATTGTTGCAGTAGGGAGGGAGGCTCAGGCTATGCTCCATAGAACACCTGGATACTACAATGTAGTCCGCCCTCTTCGAGATGGGGTTATTGCAGATTTAGGGATGACAGAGCTCATGATACGACACTTCATGGAAAAAGTCTTGCATCATAGAAGGTTTGTAAGCCCACGTATCACCATTGGTGTGCCCTCATGTATTACCGATGTCGAGAAGAGGGCGGTAGTCGAATGCGCAGAACGAGCAGGAGCTCGCCAAATTAGAGTGATACACGAGTCACTTGCGGCAGCCCTTGGAGCTAAATTGCCCATCTATGAACCTGAGGGCAATATGATCTGTGACATAGGGGGTGGCACCACTGAAATATCAGTGCTATCATTGGGGGGTACAGTAATATCCAATGCCATACGGGTGGGGGGAGATGAGTTTGATGAAGCTATTATTCGAAAAATACGCAACGAAAATAACATAACTATAAAGCAGCCAACAGCAGAAAAAATTAAAATGACCATTGGAACCCTAGATCTAAAAGGAAAAGTAGAAACAATGGAAATTCGAGGACGTGATGCACTTACTGGGCTTCCAAAGCGATTAGAAATAAACAGCAAAGAAATTGCGTCAGCACTTATGGAACCCTTTAATATTATACTTGATGAAGTAAAAAAGACGCTCTCTCAAACACCAGACGAGCTTGTTTCTGACATTATTGAACGTGGAATAGTGCTTGCGGGAGGAGGAGCACTTCTTAAGGGTATCAATGTAAAAATCGCAGAAGGCACTGGTGTCCCTGTTATTATAACTGATGATCCACTTCGTTGTGTTGCTGATGGTGCTGGGAAGTATTTTGAGCATGAAAAGAAACTAAAAACTCTCTTTCAGCACTAAGATATGTTTCACATTCTTAAAAAGCGTTATTTCTATTTAGTATTATTTTCATTCATTAGTATTTTCTCAATGATAAGTTACCGCTTAGATTCCTCAGTTATATATAATATAAGCTCACTTGTGTTTCGTGTTCGTTCCTCCCTTACATACGCTGTGGGATACCTTGTCAATACCGGAAAAGAAATTGCTGGTTTTTTTGCCCATAGAAACACGCTAAGAACAGAAATCAAGCAATTGAAGGAAAAAATAGCTGTATATGAAAAAAATTACTATTACAGCGAATCATTGCTCTATCAAATATCTCGCCTGCAGGAAATGCTAGGTTTTGTACTTAATACAGAGTACACCTTGCTTCCAGCTTCTATTTTTTCTCAGGACAGTCGATTCCAACAAAGGTACACGATTAATAGGGGGGCACAGATGGGGTAAGAATTGGTCTTCCTATAGTTACAATTCATCATAACGCCCTTACTGTGCAAGGAAGGGTAATACATGTTGAGGGTGCTAGCGCTCTTTTTATTTCAAGTACAGATATTCGTTTTCAGATTCCTGTTATTACTGAACTTACACAACAGCTAGGTATTATATATGGAAACGGAGGCGTATCTGGTACTATGACATTAGAACTAGATTCAATAACAGGACGAGAGGAGCTTCTAGTGGGGGAATCGGTGTTGGTGAATGATTTCTCTCAATTTGTATCGCCGCGCATGCCCTTAGGTGAGATAGTCGAGGTAAAGTACAGTGAGGAAGAATTATTCCTTCAGGCGATAGTGCGGCCTTTTGGAAATCTTGAGTTAATAGATACCGTGTTTGTTCTTATTGCGGAGGAATAGCTATGTTTAAGCCACTCAAGCTGCTTCTCAAGCATGTGCTACCAGGAATAGCGCTTCTTACTATCCAGCAAGTACTAGCCGCACAAATTCATAGTGCATTTCTTATACCCGATCTCCTTATTGTATACATTATCTTACTCCTTCACTTTGAAGATGAATTAAAAGATTGGATCTTTGTTGTGGCGTTTATCCTTGCATTTATTCAAGAAGTAGGATCAGGAGCAGTCTATGGAGTCACACCTCTTTTCTTCCTTTATTTTTCATATATGTATTCATTGCTTGCGTACTTTTTTCAAAGGAATTTCTTGCTTATACCTATTACTGTAGTAATGTACTTGTCTTGGTTTGCGTTTGAATGGCTTTTCTCATATGTTCTTTCCACGCCTATACCGTTTACACTGTTTTCTTACCTTTTTTTTATTAAACTTACTGTTACTATTGTTATTGTGGTGATATTATACCTATTGCTATCATATATAGTAGGGAGAAGATAAACTGTATATGTTTTACATTATGAAGCAATATAGCACAGATCTATAGTACAATAATAATTGATACAGAATAGTAGAGAGAATGAATAAAAAATTTATCATCATGGGAATTCTTCCCTCATGTGTATTTCTTGTCTTTGCGTCATACCTGTTTAGGTACCAAGTAGCACAAAATGCCCAGCATAGGGATTACGTAGATGCCATAGCGACACAGCAGAATAAGCTCCATTCCTTAAGAGGAAAAATCTTTGATAGAAACTACAATATAGCACTTGCAAAAAATGTAAGTAGTTACCAAATAGTGCTTACCCCCGCTCTTTTTTCAAAGAAGCATAGAGAACAGTCTATAAAGGAACTTGCAGAACTCCTTAACCTAAGCACGGAGTTTATCGAGGGGCTACTCCAGAAAAGAATGCAAGAAGATGAGTATCTTCTAGTAGATAACTTACTGTACAGTGAATTAGCTGTGTATTTAGAGCAGCTTGGAAATTACCCAGGAGTCAATTGGAAAAGAAACACGAAGCGATACTATCCATTTAATGATTCAATGTCGCATATTGTGGGGTATGTGGGTAATATCACGCAAAACGAGAAGAAATTGCTAAATTTTGAGGGCTACACACTTTCTGATAAGATAGGAAAAACAGGTATAGAAAAGCAGTATGAGCATAAGTTACGGGGAGAAGTGGGGCAAAAGCTTAATAAGGTAACAGCAACAGGAAAAAATGTAAAAGATAGCGAAGAAATAGTAAGAAATTCAAAGCCTGGGAATGATCTTATTCTTACGATAGATAGGAACATACAAAATATTGTTGAGAAGGCAATAGGGGAGAGGGTTGGTGCTGCTGTCGTGCTGAAACCCAGTACAGGAGAGATTCTTTCAATGGTGTCATACCCACGTTTTAATTCCAATATCTTCTCTTCTTCTCCAGATAAGCGACTTATCTCCCAAATACGAAAGAACATTCACTCGCCTCTTTTTAATAGAGCAATACAAGCGAGCACGTCCCCCGCTTCTACATTTAAGATTCTCTTACTCCTTGCGTACTACCAGGAATTTCCTCGTGAGTGGAACACCCCCGTCTATGATAGAGGCTATGTTATGGTGGGGAATAGGGCGTTTTATGATTGGTATCGTCTAGGGAGAGGATGGATTACACCATCAAACGCCCTGTCTTTGTCTAACAATGTATTTTTCTACACTATAGGTGTGGATAAGTTAGGCGTGAATACCATTATACGATATGCAGACATGCTTGGGTTAGGTAATAAAACAAATATAGATTTGCCAGGAGAAGTTGGGGGGATACTGCCCAGTCCTAGATGGAAGTCCCTTCGGTACAGAGAGGTGTGGCAGGATGGGGATACAGCTAATCTTTCTATAGGTCAGGGGTATCTTGCTGCAACCCCCATTCAGCTTGCTAACATCCTTGCTTTTATAGTTAACGAGGGAACTATCTACACTCCATACCTCCTCAAAGAAATAAGAGAGCAGATATCGGGAAAAATAGTAGAGCGGTATAGTCCTAAAGTATTGTTTTCTACTGATGCTATACACTCCGGTGTATTTACACAGCTCAAGCGAGATATGCGTAAAGTAGTAGTAAGCGGCACTGCTCAGTCGGTTATCAATACAGATGTAGTTGATATTGCAGCAAAGACTGGTACCGGTCAGGGTGCGGAAAGCGTGGACGAGCAGCAGTATTCGTCGTTATTCGTATCTTTTGCTCCATATGCTGCGCCGGCTGAGGATCAGATTATCGTAGTAATATGGATTGATGCAATAAATGAATGGGAGTGGTGGGCACCAAAAGCCGCTAACATTATCTATCATGCAATATTTACCAACAGCACCTACGAGGAAGCCATTGCTGATCTAGAAGAAAAAGGGACGTGGTACTTGTAGTGAGGAGGAGCAACGATTACACCTTACTTCTTTCTGCATTTGTGCTACTTATAACAGGTGTTTTTTTTATATACTCCAGCACCATAATCGCAGATGGAACATTACGTTCGAATGAATACATTCAACAGATTATTTTTCTTGTCACTGGATTAGCTTTATTCTTTCTTACACAAATGGTTCCCCTCAGTAGCATTAGAAAATCTGCTCTCTCTATCTATATTGCTTTTATTATCATACTGATTCTCTCGCTTTTCTTTGCCCCAATAAGAAACGGAGCTCGTTCTTGGTTGGTGCTGTGGAAATTTGGTATACAAGGATCTGAATTTATGAAGCTTGGGGTAATATTGATGTTAGCAAAATATATCGAAGACAAACCACAGTACAGCCTCAGTAGAACAGGCATCGCACGAAGCATGCTCATCATACTTATTCCTGTACTGCTTATTCTTATGCAGCCAGATTTAGGTACTGCTTTGGTTTATATTCCTATATTTCTTGCTATTTTATATGTCTCGGGCGTTTCTGGATATAAGGTGTTCTTTGTAATCGGGGTAGGTGTTATCACGATATTTACCATAATTATCTTATATCTCTTCTATGCTGATAAGATGGATAGTGTAAGTGGTGGAGAAATAATCTCTCTCTCCTACAACGTATTTATGATCTACATTATAATATTGNTGGGGGTTATTGCATTGAGTTTAATAGGGTATAACCTTCCCTATCTCAAATCCTACTTTAAGGCGGTGCTATATACTAGTTCTCTTTTCTTTACTGCTGCCGTGCTTGCATTTGTTGCTCTTAGGATTCTAAGACCTTACCAACTACAACGTTTACTGATATTTATTAATCCTAGTTCCGATCCACAAAAAAGTGGATGGCATATTCTTCAATCAATTAACGCTATTGGCTCAGGCGGTGTATGGGGGAGAGGGTATCTTAACGGAAGTCAGTCTAAATTTGAGTATCTTCCTATGGCTCAAACAGATTTTATTTTCTCAATTGTGGGAGAGGAGATAGGTTTTTTTGGCTCGGTTGCAGTTCTTTTATTGTTTACATTAATTATGTGGAGATTGCTGTTGATAGGGTACAATAGTTCGAGTATCTTTGGCACAGTATGCTGCGCTGGTTTCTTTGCTGTATTCTTAAGCCATGTTCTTATCAATATTGGTATGACCATAGGTATTATGCCAGTTACAGGTATCCCGCTGCTTTTGTTATCATACGGTGGTTCATCATTGTGGGTATCTATGCTTATGCTTAGTGTTGCAAACAACATTTACCGAACAGAGTATAAATTGAGAAGTTCTGTAAAGGAGTATTTTTAATACTCCTACTACATAGTACACTAAAGATAGTATGCAAGAAGATTTTATTCGTAAAATAATTACAGAAGATATAAGACAAAAGAAAACCCCGCATATCCGCACGCGTTTTCCTCCCGAACCCAACGGATACCTCCATATAGGTCACTCAAAATCCATCGTGCTTAATTTTTCTATAGCTGAGGAATTCAAAGGTGTATGTAATGTAAGGTTTGATGATACGAATCCTGAAAAAGAAAGTGAAGAATACGTACAATCCATCAAAGAAGATATACGCTGGTTAGGTTTTGCTTGGGAAGACACGTTGCATTTTACATCACATTATTTTCAAACCCTCCACGATTATGCGGTTCTTCTTATTAAGAAGGGGCTTGCATATGTAGATCATAGTAGCCCTGATGAAATAAGAGAACAGAAAGGGGACGCCCACCCAGTTGGGAGAGAACAGTAGATACAGAGAAAGAACAATTGATGAGAATTCCCATTTATTTCAGCAGATGAAAGAAGGTCACTTTGATGAAGGCGCGTGTTTTCTTAGGGCAAAAATAGACATGAAGCACGCAAATATTATTATGAGAGACCCAGTAATGTATAGGATAAAAAAGCAAAGCCATCATAATACTGCAGGTCAATGGTGTATTTATCCTATGTACGATTTTGCCCACTGTCTCTCCGATGCCATAGAAGGTATTACCCACTCTCTTTGTACCTTAGAGTTTGAAGTGCATCGACCACTATACGATTGGTTTCTTGAACACCTTGCTATTCCACAGCCACGACCACAGCAAATAGAATTTGCACCCCTCAACATAAGCCATACGCTACTTAGTAAGAGAAAATTGAAATATCTTATTGAAAAAAACATTATCGATGGCTGGGACGATCCACGAATTGCAACTATTGCTGCACTGAGAAGACGTGGATATACACCTACATCCATACGTAATTTTTGCAAAAGCATAGGAGTTACAAAAGTAGTAAGCAGCATAGATAGGTCTCGATTGGAGGAAATGCTTAGACAAGACCTCAATGCAAGTGCAGATCGAGTTATGGTAGTGCTAGATCCAATACTCCTAAAAATAGTAAATTACCCCGAAGGAAAGGAAGAAGAGTTTATTGTTTCAAATAATCCCGAGCAAGAAGACTCTCCCGCCCACTGCGTTAGATTTTCTCGAAATCTTTATATTGAGCGTGATGATTTCCTAGAGCATGCACCAAAGAATTTTTTTCGCTTAAGCGTAGGGAGAGAGGTTCGATTAAAACATGCGTACTACATTACATGTACTAATATCATTAAGGATGTAGAAGGAAATATAGTAGAAATACATGCAGAGTACGATCCGTGCTCATACAAAGGACAGAGCCCAGATGGAAGAAAAGTAAAGGGAACATTGCATTGGGTTTCGGTAGAGCATGCAGTGGATGTGGCTATTGATGCATACGAAGAACTGTTTGAACATAAAAACCCCGAGCAGATAGAGATAGAGGAGTTACTCGATGCTGTGAACCCTAATTCGTACCAGCCCATAAGAGGCGCGAAGGCCGAGTCGTTTATTCTAGAGCTGCTGCATAGGAAGGCTGTTCAATTTCTTAGAAAGGGGTATTACATATATGACGAAACAGCAAGCAAGCAAAGTAAGCAACCTCATTTTATTCACACTGTTTCGCTTAAAGAGGGGTGGAAACCCAAATAGCTACACCCAAATGCGCCTACGTATGCAACGCTACATCTGTTTTTGCACCTATTGTCTCATGTAGATTTTGTAGCATATGGTAGTAATGCTTTTTCTTTGCTAGGAGAGCTGTGTGTGTGCCTCTTTCAATAATCTTGCCTGATTGAAGGAAGAGAATCTCGTCCGCATTCTGTATTGTATTTAATTTATGGGCTATAAGTATGGTGCCTCTTTCTTTTTGCAATGTATGGAGTAGTGTTTGTATAATAGATTCTGTTGCGTTGTCTAAGGTGGCGCTAAATTCATCAAGTAGAAGAAATTGCGGAGCATCGACAAGCACCCTACATATGGCTATTATTCTTTGCTCTCCAATAGAGAGTGTGTTTTTTTCTATTTTACTGTCCCAATTCCACTGAGAACGACTCATAATTACATCAAGATTGCTTTCTTGTGCCACCCTTTCTAGTTTTTTACTGTCTATCTTACGCCCAATTTCTATGTTTTCTCGTATGCTTCCCTGAAAAATAAGATTGTCCTGATGAAGAAAGCCAATATGCTTTCTCAGTAACGCGAGCGGCAGTGTACGTATGTCTTTTCCGTTTAAGGTAATACTTCCCTTGCTAGGATCCCAAAAACGCATGCAGAGTTTTACGATGGTTGATTTGCCAGATCCACTATGACCCACGAGTGCAATAGTGCTGTTAGGTGTAAGTTCAAAGGAAATATTATGCAGAACATAGTCTTTATTTTTGTACGCAAAGGATACATCGTGAAATGCTAGCGTGCAATTCTTGCTTTTAGATATAGCAGAGACTATATCGCTTGTTTCTTTTGGTGAGCGTATGCTAGATTTTGTGTGAAGAAAAGAAAATATCTTATCAAAACCAACCACAGACTCTTGTAGTTGAGTAATATGCTGTGCAATGGTAATAAGGGGGTAGAAAAAACGATTGATAAGCTGTATGTATCCAATAATAATGCCAATAGTAATAAGTCCATTGTAAGAGAGTACGGTACCTGTTATCAATACTGATACTGTTATAACAATAAGGAGAAGATTGAGAAAGGGACGTAGTAATTTATGTTTTTCATTCAGTCTATATTTACTACGATAGATAGCGTTTGCAACAGCATTAAATGATGAAAAACTCTGTTCAAGTTTGCCATGCAGCTGAATGTCTAGTTTTCCCTGAAGGTGCTCTGAAAGGTACGTGTTTATTTTTCCAGTATTCTCCCTTACATCCCTTGAAAGCACAAGGACCTTTTTGCGATAGTAGTTTACAAAAAAAGCAGCGATAGGCACAATGCTTAGTGTTACAAGGGCGAGCTCCCAACTGAGTATATACAGCATCACAAGAACCACAAAGAAAGAAATCACACTCCCCAGTATCTGGGAAATAACATTTCTAAAGAAGTTTCCTATGGAATCAAGATCCCTTGTAGTAAGTGTTATAAGTTTTCCTATGGGTTCATTGCTAAAGAAATCCATAGAATGAGAGAAAGCATGCTGGACCACCCTCTGGCGTAGGGTGAGGAGAATTTTTTCTACAAGCAAAGTATTAAGCAAGGAATACCCAAACATTGTAGCAGAGCTTATAACTGTAAAAAGAATAAAAAGAGATACAAAGTTTACCATATAGCCCTGCACAGGAACATCAGTTTGCTGTAGGGAGTCTACACCTTCTTTTAGAAGCACTGCTTGATATAATCCAGTAACAGAGGAAATAATGCTCAGCACAAGCACTAGGCTTAGCAGTATGGTGTGAGGTTTTAGTAGCGATAGCACTTGACTGCTTAGTTTGTATTCTTTATTTGTAGTATTATTCATAGTATTCTTTTTGATGTATGAGGTACTCTTTCCAGCTATGAGAATAAAAGCTATGAGGGTTATTTAGTAGACTGTTATGCGTACCTTCTTCTATTATTTTTCCGTTATCCATCACTATTATTTTGTTGCAATTACTTATAATAGGAAGATTATGGCTTACTATAATGGTTGTTTTTTCTTTTCGTAACTTACGAAGGCTTTGCAGTACCAGTTTAGAGGTTCTGTTATCGAGGCCAGAGAAAATATCATCTAAAATAAGTATAGGGGTATTGGCAAGCAATGTGCGGGCAAGAGTTACCCTCTGTTTTTGTCCACCAGAAAGCAAGATGCCAGCCTCTCCAATTTGAGTATCCCACTGTGTAGGAAACGTAGAGATATCGTTGTGTAAAACACTATGGGTTCCGTATGATATCGCTTTTTTTCTTTCCTGGGTTTCCAATTCTTTTTCAGTAAATGCTATGTTTTGTACTACAGATAAAGAAAAAAAGATGAAAATTTTGCGATTGATATAATACCTGTGTTCTAAAGTATTCTGTATCTAGTTTTTCTATGGAAATGTCATCCCAAAGTATAGCGTCTGCATCTTTTTGCTCGTATATTTTCGCAAGAAGTTTGCTTAATGTGCTCTTGCCGGACCCAATACTCCCAGTGACGCCTAGCCAAGTGCCCGCTGGCATAGAAAGCGTAATAGGACCAAGGGTAAAATGAGTAGCGCCCTCGCTTTCTTCTTCCTTCTTCTTTTCTGCTGTGCTTTGCTCCTGTAGTGTGGGAGAAAGACTTGTTGTTGTATCTGTATACAATTCGTGGAAACTGTACTGAAGTTTTTGTACTGCGAGTGCTCCAGTCAATGTTTTCTGTAATGTCTTATATGTGTGGGAGTCTGCAGAAGTATTAATGCTAAGACCTTGCTTAATTCTTCGTATATTGGAGAAACCCTTCTGCTGGATATCAAATGCAAAACCTAGCCCCAAAAAGGGCATTTCAACTTGCGCAAGATAGTTAATAGCAGCAAATATATCACCAATACTTGCAGCCCCAGAAGCATAGGCCCTAAATCCCAGATAGAGCGTAAGAGCAAGAGATACTCCATTTACAAGAATAAACGTGGGCCAGAGTAACGAGTTAAGTAAGGAAATATGTATCTGAGATGAAACTATATCCTGCCCCTTTGCAAGGAATTTGTTTTGATAAAATTGCTCACTGTTATGAGATTTAATGGTAGCTATGTTTTCAAACATCTCTCTTGTTAGCTCAGAAATACCGCCTATTCTTTCCTGTATTTTTTCATAGTGCTTCCCCAGCTGCTTAAAGAGTACATATACATATACGAGCGAGGAAGGATACACCAGCAATGATGCCCATGTAATATGCTTGTACCCAATAATAAGTATGCAGTATACGCTTATTACAGTAAATAAACCGTCAGCAAGTGCTAGTGTTCCCCAGCTAATTGCATCAGTTAGTTGCTGTGTTTCTCGTTCTATAAGCGACACCTGCTCACCAGTACTAATGTTTTGCTGTGCCTTTTGTGAAAATTGGAGAAAATGACGAAAGAGCTGTTTTTTCAATGTGTTTTCAATTTTGTAGGAGGGAACAATAAGTAGGGTTCTCCATCCTAGTCGTAGAAAGAAAATGAGTACAGAGATAGCAAGTAGCAGGTATATAAATTTCATACTGGGACTAAAAAAAGAAAAAGAAGAGCGCGTGTTAGTTTCGTGGACTAAGGCATCAATAATTTGGGAGAAGTAGTAGGGGATAAGCAATAGTAATAGGTTTACCAGGATAAGGCAGAGAAGTCCAAAAAGCATGTTTTTTGCATGCGGGGATAGTAGGCGCAAAAGAAAAGTAATCGTGTTTTCTATTCCGCGCGTCGTAGAGGCGCTATTCTTATTCATGCTCCCACTTATCAAGTTGTGCATCGATTGCACTACGGAATTTTCTTACATCATTTTCAATATCCCTGCTGTCTTGTACGTGGAAGACCCCAAGCACCTTAGCTCTTAGCGTAGTAGCATATTTTCTTCTTAAAAACGAGACAATAGTATGTCCATTGCCAAGCGCGACTAGTACCACTGGCATATGCTGTGCCCGCAAAATAAGTTTAATGGCACTGCTAAAAAATTCTTTCGTCTGCGCTGCTTTGTGGCGTGTGCCTTCGGGGTAGAGAAGAATATCGTGGTTCTGTGCAGTATGTCTTTGTATAAATTTCTGTACAGCCTTAAGTGAGGAAAGAGAGTGAGATCTATCAATAAAACAATACCCTAATAGACGCATGCCAATGGAGTATGCCGGTATACCCATAAGAGGTATTGCTTTGAGTAATTCTTGCTTTGCAATAAACCGTAGCTTTCTTTCTCGAAAAATAAGGTGTGCAAGAAAGAAATCAGAAGTACCTTTATGGTTACAAAGGATAAGGTGAGGGGAGGGGAGAGATGGTGGGGTGTCAATGATAACCTTTGTCCCGTATGTAATGCGGTGTACAAATGCAAATAGTTTACTATGTTGCAAGAATATCATACTGATGAGTTTTTCGCAGCATCTTCTTCCAAAGCAGAGAAGGGTGCAAGCAATAACAGCATGAGCGGAGAAAATAGACAGCGCTATTACAGCGTTTATAATGCTAGATAGAATGACCTGCCGTAGTTCTTTCATGTTACGATCCTATGTTCTCTTGAATTGATCGGCAGATAGTAGCTGCGATGTTTTTTGTGCTTATAGGCGAAAGTGCATCCCCTGCAAGTACATGCGAGTGCACAAATGGCACATCAGGGAGCGTCATGAATTCTGCACCCGGAGGAAAATTCTCAAAAAATTTTCTAGTCTTTCTAAAATCAACAACTGTATCATGCTCATGAGCTAGTATCTTGCATGGAATCTTAAATGCATGCTCTTTTTGTTTACGTATCCACCACACATCGTATACAAGGTGTAGCATTTCATGTAATGCGGATACGGGATAGTTCATGGTGTTGTACTGTTCGTGGAGAGTGCTTTTTATTTTCGTAAGAACGTGCGCACCGCTGTTTCTTCTCATATAGGAAATAAAGAATATTCCACGTTGGGAAAGAGAGCTAAGAAAAGGGAATGCATGTACTCTTGCCAAGTAAATACCTAGATTGGGAGACAGCGCTAGTGAGAGGCATTGTTCATGCTCAGCTTTATCGCGCGCAGAAAGCAACAAGGCTAGTGTGGCTCCAGTGGAAGATCCAATAACCACTACTTTCTTCCCTAATACATTCGCCACTGCCAACCCCTCTAGAGCGCCTAGGTACCAGTCTTTATAGTGAAGGAATTCCATAGGAGCAAAAGCTACGCCATGCCTTGGAAGCCGAATTGCAATGGTATTAGCCTTTAAGGTTTTGCTTACAAGCGATAGCAGTGGGTGAGTTTCTCTAGGACTACTGGCGTATCCGTGAAGATAGAGCAGAGAAATATCTGTAGGAGCCAGCTGAGATTTTATTTTCTTATCAGCCATTGCATGCAGGGAGATCTTTCTCATAGCCTTAGAATAGAGGATGAGTTCTGTTTCAAGATTCTCGCGTACAGGGACCAGCGATTCCCTTTCTTTATACCACGTGTGCAGATGCTGCAACTGTGGCACAACAGGAAATGCGGCATTCAAGTATGCGAGTTTTTGCAACATATTTTTATTGTACTATGTTATCCTACTAGTATGTATAGTATGTAGCTACTCGTATATGAGTTACTTGTACTTTAGTAGATAATAAGGAGGTCTGTGTGCTTGAGTCTCTTCAGAATAGTTTTCAATCTGTTATTCGCAAGATAAGAGGAAAGGAGTATATTACTGAAAATAATATCAAAGAGAGCATTGAAGAAATTAAGCAATCCTTGCTGGAAGCAGATGTGCATATACGTGTGGTACGTCGCTTTATGAACAAGGCGGTGGAGCAGGCACTTGGAGAAAAAGTGTTAAAATCCCTGCAGCCAGGCCAGTATTTTGTAAAAATATTGCAAAATCTACTCGTTCAATTTCTAGGGGGGAATAATGTTCCTATACACCTCAAAGGAAATCCAGCAATTATTCTCATGTGTGGACTGCAAGGGTCAGGAAAAACAACAACAAGTGCAAAACTCGCTTTGCGATTCAAGGAGGAAAACAAGCGCTGTGCTTTGCTGGCATTGGACACTACAAGAGCTGCGGCAGTGGAGCAGCTGGAGCAATTAGGAGAAAGCATTTCAGTGCCCATTATAAGCCCACAGACGCTTGGGATGGATATGCATGCTGATAAAACAGTGATAGTGGAAAAGGCTGTACTCTATGTAAAGACTATGGGAAAAGACCTGCTTATTATTGACACTGCAGGAAGGAGCGAGCTGGATACGCAACTCCTGCAAGAATTGAAAAACATAGATCGTGTGGTACGTAGCTGTGCTAAAATTCTTGTGTTGGATGCTATGACAGGGCAAAGTGCAGTAGAGCTTGCAAAGAATTTCCATGAGACATTAGATATTACTGGGCTCGTATTTACAAAGCTCGACTCTGATGCTCGAGGTGGAGCTTTACTTAGCGTAAAGACAGTAGCCGATCTTCCAGTTCACTACGTAAGCTCAGGAGAAAACCTGCATTCACTCGAAGTATTTCATCCCGAACGAATAGCATCAAGAATACTGGGTATGGGAGATGTGCTCAGCCTTGTTGAAAAGGTGGAGAAGCAGGTTACGCAGGAGCAGGCAGAAATACTTCATAAAAAAATTATGAAAAAAACATTTACATTGCAAGATTATCTTGAGCAGATGCAGCAGATAACGAGCATGGGCTCCATAGAAGATATAGCTGCCATGTTACCCGGTGTAAGCACCGCACAACTTAAGAACATCGATCAAACGCAAATAAAACGAGAGGAAGCAATTATACTTTCCATGACCAAAAAAGAACGCTTTAACCCAAAAATTCTTGGATTTTCACGTAGAAGCAGGGTAGCAAAGGGAAGCGGAACCACTGTGGCAAAAGTAAACAGCTTACTTAAAAAGTTTGAAAAAACAAGAATAGAAATGAAGAAAAACCTTAAAAAGACTACAAAAACACAAGGTTTGCATCAAAATATAAATGAAACACTGCAAACATTTCAATAGTGTACTATAATAATAGTGTTGAGTCATTGGCAAAAAAAAATAGCAATAGAGGAGGACCTGTGGTTAAAATAAGACTCAAAAAGTTTGGTAAGAAGAGGCAGCCATCATATCGTGTGGTTGTAATGGATTCCAGGACAAATAGGAACGGGAAAACATTAGATCAGATTGGTTTTTACCACCCACTTGAACGTAGCGAACAGGATCAAATACGTTTAGATTTGGATAAGATTTCAAGCTGGGTCGGAAAGGGTGCTCAAAAAACAGATACGGTAAGGAAAATAATAAATAAATATAAAAGAACTCATTAGTGTGGGTAAGGAGGAAGTATGGAGAAGGAGTTTGTTGAATACATAGCCAAGGCTTTGGTGGATCAACCAGATGAAGTTGAGGTAAAAACAATAGAGGGGGAGAAGTCCGTTATTTTGGAATTAAAGATTGCTCAGAATGATGTAGGGAAAGTAATAGGAAAGCAGGGTCGTATTGCACATTCCATTCGTATTTTATTAGGAGCAATTGCCACCAAAACCGGAAAAAGAGTAAATTTGCACATCTTGGATTAATTAAGCTGTAGAGTATGAGAGCGTGCACCTTCCCGTAAGCTCCTGTTTCTACCATCCCTAATACTTGTTCTTTACATCAAATACCCCATCCCATCCAGCATAACTACTAGAATAACTAATGTCATTGTATTATCTTTTGTTATGAGAGCTTCCGCGACAGTGCTTATTGTTACAGGTAAACTAGTGAAACCTCAAGGACTGCGAGGGGAAATTATTCTATTCTCGTATTCAGCTCAGATAAAGCATTTCAGTTCCATTGCATCTCTCTATCTCGCAAGAGATAATATATCTCTTGCTGTTGAATATTGGTCACGTATAGGATCGGAAACAGAGAGAATAAAGTGTAAATTTCAAAATATACAGAATCCTGAGGAAGCAAGGAAGATATGTGGGCAGGATGTGATGGTCTCAAGGCAATTAGCTTCTCAATGCAAGATCGATGAATACTATATTTCTGATCTCGTGAACATCCGTGTGCAGTGCCATGGGCAGGATGTTGGGGTTGTAGCTGCGATTACTAATGATGCGCATCCAATGTTATGTATTCGTTGGAAAGAAGGTGGGGTAGGGCTCATACCATTCAATAAGCATTTCTTTGCTATACCCGATATACACAAGGGTTCGGTCGAGCTTACAAATCACTTAGTATTGAATATTACGTAATTGAATAGAGCATGCAATATATGCCCCATGCTATGATGCCACAACTCCTTGTGCTAATGTGTTCTCGTATGTATAATAAAGTATGTATATATGAAAGTACATATAGTAACACTGTTCCCCAATCTTATTGAAAGTTATTTCAATACTTCAATTATAGCTAATGCGCGCAATTTAGGTGTAATTACAGTGCATATTGTAAACATCCGAACCTTTGCATACGACAAACACAAGACCTGTGATGATGCTCCTTATGGGGGTGGGTATGGTATGGTACTAAAAGCGGAACCACTTGCATCCGCTCTCGATTCTATTCTAGGAAATGAGCCTAAGAAACATAGCGCGCTTACTATTTGCCCCACCCCAGCTGCCCCGCTATTTACACAGCAAGATGCAAAGCGTCTTGCGCAAAGAGAAGAGCTTCTGTTTATTTGTGGGCACTATGAGGGTATAGATCAGCGAATAATCGATCTGTATGTAGATGAAACGTATTCTATTGGCGAGTACGTAGTGGCCTCTGGAGAGGTGGCAAGCATGGTCATGCTGGATAGTGTGCTTCGTTTGGTGGATGGGGTGCTCAATAAGGGTTCTCTTAAAGAGGAGAGTTACGAAGCTTCCCTACTTGAGTACCCGCACTATACCCGACCCGCAAGCTTTCGTGGTATAGCAGTGCCCGAGATACTACTTTCTGGCAATCATAAAAAAATAGCAGAGTGGAGAAAGAAAAAGAGCCAGGAGCTTACAAAGAAATTGAGACCAGATCTCTACTATGCTAGTTCAAAAAGAGGAGAAAATAAACTGTAGTATAAAAATCACATTTGGTGTATACTATATATGTACGATATGCACTGAACATATTTCATTTGGAGGTCACATGATACGCAATAAAGAAATTCTCAGAAAAGCAAGGACGACAATAAAAAACAACTATAACAACGCATTACTTGCTTCTTTACTACATACCCTTTCTGCTTCTGTGTTTCTTTGTATAGGATTTTTTCTCCTTATAGGTGCAATGATACTGCTCTGTGTATATACAGTACGATTTCTTATACGAGAAGGTTTAGATTTTTTCGGTATGGAAGGGGATATGCTATTTGAGGGTTCGGGAGATGTCTTGAAGGAAGGCATGATGGGAAACGGATGGTTTGATATAATAACGCGTGTGTTCTCTAGTTTTCCTGAAATGCTCCCAGAGTCGGCCGAGAGATGGAAAGGTATGGAAAGGCTTTTAGAGCACGATGTATTGCAAGCATTTGCTTCTGCGGGCTTTCTTATTGCTGTAGCATGCATTGTTTTCGCCCTCATATCACTCGTGCTGTTTACATGTATTTCCCTGGGAGTTAAGGGGTATTTTCTTACTGAGCAAAGAGAGCGAGGAGAGCAGGGTAAGTCTCGCTTTAGTGTCGTGCTACGGTTTTTTAGGTTTGCTTCCTGGCGCATATTTATTGCACTTTTTATAGCGCATGTGCTCCAGCACCTTATATCATCGTTCTTGTTTATTCCAGCATTGATAGTGGGTTTGTTCTTCTCACAGATTGATTTTCTAGCCTTTGACAACCCCAAAATGGGACCGTTGCGCCTGATAATACAAAGTGCAAAGATGATGTGGTGGCGACCGCTATGGCAGTTGTTCTGCCTATATCTACGATTTGTCCCGTGGTTCCTGCTAGTGTTTGTAACATTTGGTGTTGCTGCTTTAGTGTGGGTCTATCCTTATTTTACTACTGCTACAGCCATTTTTTATCAGGGATTACTGGATAAAGATAGCATAGTAACTGAGTCGCCTGTTCCCGGTAGTGTGAGCAATAGCGCTTCTAGCGATGTCATTGAAAGCACATAATGCGCAAGCATATAAAAGAAACACGCATCATTGATGATGCTATACTTGACAAAATAATGTGAATGCTATATACTACTCACAGGTTTAACACTTCCTATATGTAGCATTCTCTATATGTAGTCTTCAAAAAGATAATAGTTGCTTTCTTTTAGATAGCTACTATACGACGAGCTTTTATGTTGCTTTTATGCCTTAATTGTCATTATTTATGGGGGCAGAAGTATTGCTTGGAAGTCTACGGTACAAATGGTACATATATTCTCACAAGAAGGAATGATGTCAGAAGAAAAAGAAAACAAAATACACATACAGCAACAAGAAGATGCCGAGGTACAGGGAGAACAAGAACCTGCTGAGGTTGAAATTCCTACGCAAGAGACAACTCTAGCACAGAAGCAAGATGCTGAGCAGAAAAAAAACTCAGTCAACTCAGCACAGGATGAAGCACAAGCCGAGCAATACACAGAGCAACGCAACAAGAAAATAGAAATCAAACTCAAAAATAAGAACAAGAAGAGAGTGCAGAAAAAAAGCAGCTCATACACAAAGGTAAATGAAGCAGAAAAAGCACTAAACGGAGAGGAGAAAAGCGACCAGTATGATATGGAGTTATCTTCTCATACGCTAGAAATACCTGAGGATTATAAGGACCTGCGAGATATCTACCACGACAAGTTAGCTGATCAATCCATCATTGAACTAAGAAATATAGCCCTTAAAATTGGTTTGCAATATGAAGATATTTCATCTCTCAAGAAGCAGGAGCTCATTTTTAGGATATTGAATATTTTTATTCAGTGGGGAGCGTTGGCTCATGCAAGAGGGACGCTTGAAATCATGTCTGACTCATATGGTTTTCTTCGGTCACCACATAACTCCTATCTACCTGGACCTGGGGATATCTATGTGGGTTCTACACATATTAAGAGACTCAACCTCAAAACAGGTGACACGGTAGAGGGTATTATACGCCCTCCGCGTGACGGTGAGCGTTTCTTTGCGCTTAGTAAGGTAGAGAAGGTCAATTTTGATTCTAAAGAAAACTCCCAAACAAGAATTCCATTTGACAGTCTTACTCCACTGTATCCTGAATCTCGATTAGAGCTTGAAACCCCAAGCAAACCAGATGTATCTACCCGAATAATTAATTTATTCTGCCCCATAGGCAAGGGTCAGCGCGGCTTGATAGTGGCGCCACCACGTACAGGAAAAACTGTGCTCCTACAGAAAGTAGCAAATGCTATTACAACGAAGCATCCTGAGGTATATCTTATAGTACTGCTTATTGATGAAAGACCAGAAGAAGTTACAGATATGCAAAGAAATGTACAAGCAGAAGTAATATCATCAACATTTGACGAGCAAGCTACGCGTCATGTACAGGTTGCTGAAATGGTTATAGAAAAAGCAAAAAGACTCATAGAACATAAAAGAGATGTGGTGATACTTCTCGATTCTATCACGCGTTTAGCAAGGGCGTATAATCAAACAATACCGGCATCAGGTAAGGTTTTGTCTGGTGGGGTGGATTCAAATGCATTGCATAAACCTAAGCGATTTTTTGGAGCCGCCCGCAATATAGAAGGTGGGGGCAGTCTTACCATAGTAGCTACAGCATTGATCGAGACTGGCAGTAGAATGGACGAGGTAATCTTTGAAGAATTTAAAGGTACAGGAAATATGGAAATTTACTTGGATAAGAGATTATCTGAGCGCCGAATATTCCCCGCTATAAATTGCAATAGATCGGGAACAAGAAGAGAGGATCTGCTCCTCACCACTGAAGAGCTTCAGAAAATGTGGGTGCTAAGAAAAGTAATCAATGGCATGGATGATATAGAAGCAACAGAGCTACTTGTAAATCGGATGTCCAAAACCAAAACAAACGCTGATTTTCTTCTTTCTATGAACGCTGCTAATAACACAAACAATACAGATACAAATTAAATTGTGGAGGAAGTATGAAAAAGGATATACACCCAAACTGCAACACTACAGTGTTTAGGGACATGTCGTCTAAAGATGAATTTATTGTTCCATCTACGGTGCAGAGCAGTAAAAAAGAAGTAAAGGATGGAAAGGAGCTTGCCCTGGTAGAGTTGGAAATAACAAGCGCAACGCACCCTTTCTATACTGGTCAGCAGAAACTCATCGATACTGGGGGTAGGATAGATAGATTTCGTAAGAAATTTAATATAAAAGAGAGGAAATCCTAGAGAGATGTATTTTTCTCATTTTGCTGCTTGATCCTAGCCGCTCCCCGCATACCTTTGCCAGCACTTTGAAGATAACAGTACAGTGCTATACCTAGCAAAGCAATGCACCCTACAATACCAAATGCGTCGCCAATAATAAGATAGGGGCTTTGTATTGATAATAGCTGAATGTTGGAATGTATCTTATCTTGAACAAACATAGGAATCTGTTCTATAACCCTTCCCCAAGGGTTTACAATAGAGGTGACACCAGCGTTTGTAACACGAAGCATGGGAATACCAGTTTCAATACTGCGATATCTGGAGGTAAGCAACTGTTGCATCTGTGCTGATGGAGAGTTTGTCCAGCTTACATTGGAAAGATTAACAAGAAGTTCCGCTCCTTGCAGTGCATGAGAACGCGTAATAAATGAGAATGCATCCTCAAAGCATATAATCAAACCTAGTTCTACAGCAGCCTGTGTATGAGAGTGTTCTCTTAGCGGAACTGTAAGGGTATGGATGGACCCGCCCGGTGTCCATGTAGAATAAATATTATAATTTTCTAACAGGGTTGCTAAAAAAGGTATTTTCTTTAGCGGAAAGTATTCTGCCAATGGAACAAGCTGGTTTTTTGCATACGAGCCAAGAACAGAAGAATCTGCAGCTATAAGAACAGCAGCATTGTAGTATTCTCTCTTCTCAGTATTTGCTATGGGAATGCCAGAAAGGAGGGGGGTGTCGTTTTCCTTAAGAAAGCGTAGGAGAGGCAGTGTTTGTGGCATGAGCTCGTAGTAGTGTTTAGTAGAGGGGTAGTCTTCTGGTTGGTAGTAACGTGAGGCTTGTTTCGCTCCATACAATAAGATCAGGTTTCTGCTCGAGTGAGTCTAAGCTTTTTTGAGTGTACTGCACTAAGTCGTCGAGCACCTCATCTTTTTTCCCCCAATCCCAGCTATCAGAATTTTGCTGAATACCTAATATGCGTATTTGTGCTACTGTGTTTTCTGCTGTCATTGTGTTTTCAAGAGAAAGCATGTACGTGCCATAGAGTATACTGAGCGTGTATAGTAGAATAAGAAAGAGGCTGTGGAAACGTAGCGCAGAAATCATCTTGCTTTTATTGTTGTTAGTAGCTGTGTAGATATGCTTATAAGGAGTGGCGTTACCACTCATGTCGTGCAAAAAAGGAAGGAGGGTGTACTTGTGTATATAGTGAATGATATATTCAGCAAGCACTGCGTTTGTATATACCACGAGGAAACTCAATAACCATTCGCCACCCAGGCGTGCTATCTGTGTAAGTACAGTAAGCGTTGCAACTGTGTGCGAAAGATGTGCCCAAGGAAAGGCTAGATACCCTCTAGCACGAATAAATTCATATCCTACCCATAGTATAGCGATAAGAAGAGGGCGATATGCATTGAGTTTTGTATTGTATATGCAATGTATAAGAGTAAGCACTGTGGTATATAGAAGAAGAAACACAAAAAGCACCCCAGCAAAAGACATAAGAGCATATTCTTGAAAATTTTTCAGCCAGTAAAAAGTAAACGTGACATACATAATTTGCCATAAAAAAACAGTATAGTATGCCTTTTGTATTGTTGGGGCAAGAAACAATGCAAGATATAAGGGTGCAAGACAGATAAAACCAAGGCCCACTACACCTTCAATAAAGAAGGGATTGGGAAGGCTAAGTGAAAAAAGTAAGGCAGAGCAGCTAAGAAGTATGTAAGGTAGTATAGATAGCTTTTTCGTCATCTGATATAATAATATTGTATACTATTCGTATGCTTAAGCTACAAAGGGGAGGTAGACACTTGCAAGCAGTACATGCGTGTAACGTGTGAACATATGAAAATTTTACTTACAAATGATGATGGGTACATAAGCCCGCTATTGCAAGACCTACACAGTTTTATACCAGAACTTATTACTCATTCTAGTAGCATTGTGTTTGCGCCGAGTAGAAACTGCAGTGCTGTTTCTAGCGCACTTACTCTTGATCCTAAAATATTCTTTACAAAAATTTCTGAAAATTACTATTCAGTACAGGCTTACCCTGTAGATTGCGTGAAAATAGCTCAGAATTTACATGGCGCATTTGACCTTGTTCTATCTGGTCCTAATCAAGGGGCTAATCTTGGTGACGATGTTGTACATTCTGGCACAGCAGCGGCAGCGCATTGTGCGGCAATGAACAATACCCCAGCTATAGCATTTTCTATTGTTGATGACTACAAAGACATACGCAGTCTAGATATGGAGCTGTGGCATGCATTCCTTGTAAAGCATATTCATTTTTTAATAGAAGTAGCAAAAAAGCATCGTGGATTCTATATCAATGTTAATATTCCCTTACCGGTATCATTGGATCTAGAAGAAGCAACCCTCTCTAAAAGAGCGTACATTGAATCTCATGTCTGTTACGACGGAGAAGAGAAGAACGAATATTATGCACGTACTGCAACAGAGCTAAACGATGAACACGTGCTGGGGGGAAGCGACTGGGACTATTGCTTGAAGGGAAAAAGCACATATACAGTTGTCGATGCGCTTCCACGTAGCATCGCCAATAATATAAGCAATTAACCTAGTGAGGTAAGATGAATTTAGGATATGTGTCAATGCTTATGCAGCGCAAATTGTATTCTCAGGCCCTAGAGAGTCTTAATGATACGAATATTAGGCAGTATAGTGCTCAAAGCAGTAAAATACAGTATTATAAGGCACTTTGCTACACTAACCTGAAAATGTATGACAAGGCACTGGAATTCTTTGATTTTGTATTATCTTCTAAATTAGGATTCATCTATATTTACCAATGCAAAATGATACGAGGCTACATCCATTCAATAACCGAAAAACATTCACTAGCAGAGCTTGAGTTTTAGATCTGTTAAACAATGGGTACGAGTCAACAAGAGTGTATTCTGCTATTGGACATACAATTTATCTGCAAGGCAGGGTACCGCAGGCAGTGCAGTATCTTCAGAAGGCTCTACAGATGAATCCAAATAACCCAACGGCACTTAATTCCATGAGTTATATTTTAGCGGAGAATAATGTAAAATTAGATATTGCTATGGAATATGCACGGAAGGTGCTACACTCCTCGCCCAACAACCCCGCTTACCTCGATACTTTTGGGGTCGTGCTTATAAAGCAGAGAAAATTTAATACCGCAAAAAAGGTGCTGGGAAGGGCGTATAAGATCTCAAAAAATCCGCTCATTTTAACACATCTACAGATGGCGATGCAGAAAAAAGAATACTAGTGCATATTATGCAGCAAAATAAGGTGGGGATTTGCAGTATATGAAAAAACACATAACAATACTATGCTTTCTCTTTTTTATTCTCAATCACTCTGGGTTTACCCAAACAAACCTAGAAGGCGAGCGCCTAGAATTGGAGAATGCATTTCCATTAGCTCTCAGTGATATTCTTAATCTCTCAGAGTCCCGGCAGGAATTCTTTCTTGGAGTCAATCTTTTTCATGCTGGAAATATTGCGCAGTCTATTGTATCTCTTCAAAACGCAATTGCTCTTTTTTCTCAAACGGACAGAGGCAGTAGTGAGGCAAGATATGAGATAAATGTATATAAATTTTGGTACGCAAAAGCAAGTTATGCATATGGAAATTTAGAATTAGCACGGTTGCTATGGAACGAGCTTATTAGAGATGAGTTCTTTCCTACCTTTTTAAGAAATAAGCTAGAACAACTCTCCTCACAGGAGAACAATGCTGCCCTCTTTAGTTTGTCAGAAATGGGAAAAGTGGTGAGTGTAGATCTATTACAGCAGAATTTACTTACACCAATATCTCTCCGGGCTCTACATAACGGTCTGCTCGGCCTTACGCTGCTTCAGTCTAATCTTGCAGTCATTTTAACACCCGCTGGTAATGTAGAGAGATTTCTTACAAAGAGACTGCGCACTTTTGGGCGACCTGTGGATATCATACAACTTCATGGCGGTGATATTCTTGTGACTGAATTTGAAATGAACACGATTTCACGTTTTAGTTCTACTGGCAGTTATCGAGGAGCATTTATCGCAGAAAGCCCAGCAGAGACACCTAGGGAGCTCAATATATTTGGTCCTCAGTATCTCGCGGTTGATGATGATGACAACGTCTATGTGAGTATGCACGGCACACGAGATATTATGAAATTTACGAAAGAAGGAGTGTTTTTGCTACGCTTTGGGGGTCTAAGCTCTGGTTTTGATGGTTTGGCGCAGCCCTCTGGTATTGTATTTCATAATAAGCGAGTATGGGTAGCTGATTATAAAGATGCTCAACCAAGGTTAGTAGAGTTTGATGTAAATGGCAATTATCTTAGCCAGGCGAGATTAGAAAGCAGTGAGGGCATTGAGAGCATGCGCTCTCTTTCTGAGTCCACCATATTGATCAGTTCTCCCAAGTCTATTCATGCTTTCAATAGCGTAACAGGAAGGCTTACAGACAGCTTAAGTCAGTCTGAATTTTCAGGTGTCATCAGTGCAGATGTGGATGTAAATGATTCCTTGTGGATAGTAGATAAAGAGAGAAATAGTTTGGATATTTACTCTCATTTTTCACGCCTGTATTCTGGGCTTTCGGTGCATATAACGAATGTTGACCTTAGTGTATTTCCTACGGTAAGACTTACATTTAACGTGGGTAATATGAGAAATAAAAAAATACGTGGCCTAGATGAAGGGTCAATTTCTCTTATTGAATCAGACACAGAAATTAGAGATTTCATTATTCAAGAGAGTTCAGAGCTTAGTAGAAACAAGCATCTTGTTGTAGTGCCTAGCATGGTGGGGGTCCCCAAGGATAGGGTTCATACCCAACGTATGTATGATGCGGCTAGAATAACACTGGATGCTATTGCAACACAAGCGCCCGCTGACGTAGGGTTTGAGTTTGCACTTCTGCACCCTAGTACGGTTCAGCAGGGTCTTACTATTCCTAGTACTACAAGTACTCGTCAGGTTTTAGATGCTCTTTTGAATTATGCAGACGAAGACAGCTCCATGGAACATATATATAATTCTTTGCGCATGGCTGCAAACATATTATTACAAAAGGACGGAGAGAGAATAGTATTATTTATAGGGGGTGTACAGGGGGCGCAGGATACAAAGGCTTGGAAAAGGGTGCAACGCTTGTATACGCAAAATAATATTAAAATCATTTGGATAGACACGAGGCCCACAGGGCAAGAGCAGCAAGGGGTAAGCAGCAGTCATGATTCTTTTTTTGCTTCCATGCTACATGCAAGTGACGGGGCGCAATTCCAGTATCCATTTCTTATGCAGGGAGCACGTAGTTCCATACTAGATGAAATACTATCACCAATTTCCGGTGAGTACGTTATTGAGTATACTAGTCGCTTTTCGAATCTACTTCCTAAGCAGTATATCTCCTTGGTTCTCAGTGTTTTTTTCTTACAGAGCAGTGGTCAGGAATTGAGTGGCTTTATACTTCCTGGATACGAGAATTGATAAAGAAATGCTGTATATTAACAGTGTTAAGATATTGACGTTATGAATGACTCTGTGTATAATAGGAAGTAAGGATAAAATAATATGTTTGCAATTGTTGAAATTTCGGGGTCACAAATAAAAGTAGAACCAAATAGCATTGTTAAAGCCCCTCCTATAAAAGGTAACGTTGGCGATAAGGTAGGGCTGGAATCTGTAATTATATATAAAGATAAGGATGGCACTAAAATTGGTTCACCGTACATTGAGGATTTAAAAATTCAATGTGAAATATTTGCGCAAGATAGGGGAAAAAAACACTACGCAAGAGTGTATAAGAGACGAAAGCAGTATAAGAAGGCATGGGGCTACAGAACTCCTTTTTCTCTCCTAAAAATTGCGTCTATACAAGCTTAGTAGACGCACTTCATTTACGTGCATGGCTCTGCTTATGGAGCATGGTCTTGCATGCTTACGAGTCAGTGTTCTAGTCGGTATTATAAAGTAGCTAGCTGTGGTGCTACCACGGTTTGCTGGGGAGTTATAGTGATACAAGCTAGTCTGCATATTATCACAGGAAATCATGCTCGCGTATTGCTATCGCATGCATATTTAGAAAAAGAAAGCACTGAAAAAATAGCTAGCCAGGATTTTTTTTTCATATCGCACGCATCGCTACATGGTCATGCGAGTACAGCAAGGGATGAAGTTGGGCAGGTAGCATGTGCTGGGGTAAGTATTTTATGTAAAAGCCTTGCTGTTATACTTGATAGGCATGTAGGAACTATGCTTGATATGTCAGCAAGAAAAGAAGGCGAATTTATATTTACTATTGATGTGGACGCTATGTTCAGTAAGTATGCCCCCATTACCCTTGTTCAATATATGGGGTTAAGTGGCTCAATGAAATTATTTTTACTAGGATTAGAGCTTATTGCACAAGATATGCCAAGTACGATACAATTAATAGTAAGTAACACAGACTAGGAGGAGTGTATGGCGCATAAAAAAGGTGGTGGTAGCACAAAAAATGGTCGTGACTCTGTCTCTAAACGGCTTGGAGTAAAGGTTTTTGGAGGCGAACACATAAATGGTGGCGGCATCATTGTGCGACAGCGAGGAACCACGTTTCATCCAGGTATAAATGTAGGAAGAGGAAGAGATAACACTCTCTTTGCTATGAGTGAAGGAACCGTAGAGTTTGGAAGCAAAAGAGGGAAAAAGATTATTTCTGTACTCCCTTTATCTTAGTATGTATTATATTGAAATCACAGTTTGTTGACAGTGTAGTAGTTACATTGAGCTCAGGCCATGGTGGGGCTGGATCTGTGAGTTTTAGGAGGGAGAAATACATTCCTAGAGGCGGTCCAGATGGTGGCAATGGGGGAAGAGGAGGGGATGTTATTATCCGATGCTCGGCCCATGAGCGTACCCTTAGAAAACTACGTATCAAAAAAACATATTCAGCAGGTAATGGAACCTCAGGTAGTGGAAGGCAAAAGCACGGAGCAAGAGGAGAGGATCTTGTTATTACAGTTCCTTTTGGAACTGTGCTTCGTACTTCGCAAGACATAGAACTTTTTCGTTTTTCGCATCAAGATGAGGAGAAGCTTTTGCTAGAGGGGGGTAGTGGAGGCTTAGGGAACACATGTTTTAAGAGCCCAAGAAGACAGGCTCCTCGTTTTGCACAGCCAGGAC